ACGATAGGGGGTGGTGCTGTTGCGGGCGCAGGGGGGGGGGTGGGAACCGCGTTTTTGGAAGCCGCCGGACAGCATTGTTGGTTGGGTAGAGGTGGGGATGGAGGAGATGGAGAGGAGAGGGTTTTTGAGTGAGCCAGGGTTTTAATAGGCAGGATTTTGGGGTGGTCCCCGAAAAAAAATTATTATATCATGAGTCCAAAAATTGTATACTTCCGGTCTCATGTTCATTATGCATTTAATAATTTAGTTTTTGGTATTTAGTGAATTAAATCCTACATGTGACACATTGTGATTCGATTCCTGATACAGTTTTGCATCTGGACTCCTAATGTAATGTTTAGTCGCAGAGAGACTGGTTGGGCGATTGACCCGCTCAATCAGGAAAAATTATTACGTGCCGACACCGCACACAAAATTTGTGTTTAAAAATTTAGAGTGGATCCCACTCTAATAATAAAAAAAATTTAAAAAATGTATTTTAGTGATCTAGATAGGACTTCGCACGTAAATTTGTGTGTGGTGTCCTCACGCAATAAGCGCTCTTCAATCTAATTCGAGTCGGTTGAGTTCTTGGGCAATATTTTATAATTTTTTTTTTTTTGTTAAATAATTTTAAAATTTAAATCTCCATTTTTTTCTGAAGGAAAAAAAAAATACTTCCTCAAATTTCTTTTAAGAATTGGGTTCCTCAAATATATTATTCTTGAGAAACGTTCATTTTTTTTCTGTTTTATTAAATAAAGCTTAAATAAATCATCAAAATGATTGTTTTTTAATATATTTGGTAATTAAATACAGAATTAATCGTAAATTCGAACCAGAGTCATCATGGCTCGCCATTAAGAAAATAATAATAATAAGAAGTAAAATTTGGGCCAGATTCGGGCCTTGGATCCAGGGTGCGGGCCCATTCATTTAAAATTTTTGTTTAGGGCTAATGAAACTGTTTGGGGTAGGTAGGAAGAGCTGAAGGACTTGGGGCACTAATATAATTTAAGCCGAGAAATGATGATTTATTCAGATTAGCTTAAAAAAATATATTCAATTCCAGAAATAATTTAAAATTAATAAGAGCATTAAATTTTAATTATTTTGTGAAATTGGTGAAAATGTTTGGGTTCTTCAAAGGTTTTTTTTAAAATAAGTTATTGTGAAATCAATTATTATTGCATGCCGAAATATTCGCGAGGGGTAATAATTTAACATTGTAACACTACAGGAAAATTCAGTGCACACATAAATAACAGAAAAGTAGTAGGAAGAGACTCTAATATTTTTACGTGGGAAAATATTAAAGGTGAAAACAATTATAGGGTCTAGCCCAGTTAAAATAATCCACAATATAATTGTAAATACGTATGTCATCTTTTCTCTTAAATTAAAGATGATAGACTTACAAAACAAATAATCAAAAATTTATAAAAGTACTTTAGTTATAATGATCATAATTAGGCTATAATAAATGTGATTCTCGGATACAATAGTATTATTTGGTCACAAATGTTGTATTTAGTTGCTACAAAAGCAGTGTTTAGCCATAAAGGTTGTAATTTGTGGATGTCGTAGTGGCAGTTAGCCGCAGAGACCATAGTTGAAAGTTGTAACAGTATTATTTGATCACAACAACCGTGGTTGGTTATTACAAAGGATGTAAGTGGTTATAAATGATGTAATTGTTAGCTGCAATAGTGGCAGTGGGCCACAAAAGGCAGTTGTTGAAAGTTTTAGGAATATTAGTTGGTCAAAAGAATTTGCAGTTTGTTACTGCAAATGTAATAATTAGTCTTAAATGTTGTAGTCGGTTGCTCTAATAATGACAATTGGTTGCAAATACCACAGTTGAAATTTCTAATAGCAGCAGTTGATCACAAAAGCTGTAATAATAAGTTGTAGCAGTAGTAGTTGGTCACAAAGATCGTAATTGGTTGTTACAAAAGTATTAATTGGCTATATAAGGTATATTTGGGGTTGCAATAGTGGCAGTTG